GCAACACAAATTAGTACCATTGTGATAATTTGATGATATATATGGCATGTTTGGCTGACGATACAAATCAATATCATTGTGACAATTTGATGATATATCGGGCACGTTTGGTTACCGGCCATAGGGTGCCACGCCTAGTTGTGGCGGTGCCTAAAGTTGCAACGGCAAAAAATCGACGCCACAGCTGTGGAGTTTTGTGCTGAAAAGTGACGTGGCTGCCGCAGAAGCAAACATTAAACGTAGCATTGCGGCGTGTGCATATGTGTGGCGGGCTGCGGAACCAAAACATCCCTATAGTAGCAAAGAAGGGTACATTTCCAAACTTTACATCTTTCATTGGTACTCGTCCAATTTTCCATTTTCCGTCTGTATAACAGGCAAAGCTATATCTAGCTCCGTCCGATCAGTATCACACGGTGCAGAAGGGTCCCTTGGAGAAGAGGAAAGAAAAATACCAATAAAACGAAGTCGAAGTACCCCAGATGAAGGCATCTCCAATCTCCTCGCCCCCGCACCGCCCCACGGACCTGAGCCGCCACAGCCGCCTCTCCCCTCGCCGCCGGAGAAGCACCGCTCGCTCAGGAGGACAGCCATGGCTCCGGAACCGGAGGATGACATCATGAACGAGAAGAACCCCCGCCCCCTCGACGAGGACGATATCGCCCTCCTTAAAACCTATGTGCGTCCCTCGACCCCCGTTTGGATCTCTCTGATCTCGTGGATCTAGGGTTCTTTGGTGATTTGGTCTTGGGGGTGGGGCTTCAGAGTTGTGTTCGTTGTGATTCGGGCTCGAGATCGGTTTAGGGTTTTGATCTCCTCTGTCGTTTGTAACGGCATCGTGCTTTTACCAGATTTAGGTCGCCGTGTGTGATTGGAAGGGGAGAAACTGCTGATGTTTGCTAATTTTGGTTTGCTGGATGCTGTTGCAGGGGCTTGGGCCGTACTCGACCAGCATCAAGAAGGTCGAGAAGGAGATCAAGGAGATGGCCAAGAAAATCAATGACCTTTGTGGTGAGTGATAATTTTATTATGATGTTTTTTTCGGTGTGGCATTGGAGATGTAGGCCAATTTGTTTCTGAGTTGGTCCTAAGGATAAGTTTGATCATTTTGTGGCATTTTATTCATCTTCTAGCTTAGACTGTTGAGTTATTGCACTGAGAATTATATTCACTTGGCAACACTTGTTTCAGCTGGCTATTTACTTGCAGCTAATATGGAGTTTCATTTAATTGACGATCTCACGTATAGTTATCCAAATGGTTAAGATGTAGTGATGCATTATTTAGTGTGTTACACTTGAAACATTCTAGTTTACTGAACAAGGGTAAAAATCGATGGGAACTGTTTCTTTAGTGATTCCTCTGTAGTTCTGGCATGGGGGTGCTGCTATATATTACCCTGCACTCTAGATATTTGACATATTATTAACTTAATAGTGTAGTAATGACATGTTATTAACTTAATAGTGTAGTAAGATGAATTGGCTATGAGACCACAACTTATGTCTGGTGTTTTCTATTATGTCTTATGTCTGGTGTTTTCTATTATGTTCTATGTTGTTCTGCAATTCATCAGCTTGTTTTAATGTTAGCAAGCTCCTTTTGACCTGAGATGTGCTCTTATACTAAATGCAGGGATAAAGGAGTCTGATACAGGGCTGGCTCCACCTAGCCAGTGGGATTTGGTTTCAGATAAACAGATGATGCAAGAAGAACAACCATTACAAGTATATTAACTGAACCTGATATTGTGTTACTTAATAGTCTTTACAGATTTGAATTACGACCTACCATGCATGATAGTTGGGCACAAAATCTTTTCGGTTTCAGTTTTACATGTGCCAGCGCACTAATAACTTCTCTTTATCCTCCTGCAGGTAGCAAGGTGTACAAAGATTATAAGCCCTAATACGGATGATGCCAAATATGTTATAAATGTAAAACAAATTGCAAAGGTATGCCATGCTTGCCATTTTATTTCCATCTCATGCGACCTAGAAACTGTACACTTTTTTCTTATGCCTTGTTTTGATTCCTGCAGTTTGTGGTTGGACTGGGGGATAAGGTCTCTCCAACTGATATCGAGGAAGGGATGAGGGTCGGGTATGCCATCCTGTATTTTCAAATTAAGCATATCATAAGTCTTAAAGTGTCTTCTTCCTTTAGCATATCATACTTAGTCATTCATTTCTACTACAACACTATGATGCATTTATGTACTTGTGATGAATGTATACAAAACTGGCCCATCTTTCCGGTGATTATTTGTAAGAAAATGATATGCCATCATGCAAGCTGCATGTCTTATGAGAACAATGCTTATTAATTTGAGTTATTACTTATTAGAAGGCTTAAAAAAGCAATGGCCATTCGTGTAGTGATAGCCATGTCCCTTGGAAAGATGTCATGAACATGTTTGACATAGATGAGAAAGCATTGGTTTGTTGAATTAGCTGTCCTCCATGACCACCATGACTTGGTAGGCACGTAGTTTTTTCTGAAAAGCAATATTGAATGTAGTGTATCTATGTATTTTAGTAATCTTTGAATACTGCTATTGCATTGGAAATAATTGTTAGCTGCATAGATTGGATGCTAGTATAAAACTCTGCCCTACGCAATATTAAGAGATGAAAAGGTTGGTTAATCTAAAAATGATCCTGTGCATTCATTTTATTGCTGAAACATGACTGGCCTTTTGGTTATTTCTCTATGCGTTGTGCTATTGTTCCTGAATAAGTTGAAACTTTTTCCCACCTAGTGAAAAATTTGTGATCTCACACCTGATGCTTGTTGCAGTGTTGATCGTAACAAGTACCAGATTCAGATCCCTCTTCCACCAAAAATTGACCCAAGTGTTACCATGATGACTGTGGAGGAAAAGCCAGATGTGACTTACAATGATGTTGGTGGCTGCAAGGAGCAGATTGAGAAGATGCGTGAAGTATGTGATCCTTTTTCCTTGTGAGCTGGCACATACTTCATCACAGTTAGTTATGGACCTACTTTATTTCCTCTTTGCTGTACCATTTTTACAGGTTGTTGAACTTCCTATGCTTCACCCAGAAAAGTTTGTCAAGCTTGGTATTGACCCTCCAAAAGGCGTCCTTTGCTATGGTCCACCTGGTACTGGCAAGACTCTTCTTGCAAGAGCTGTAGCAAATCGGACTGATGCTTGTTTCATCCGTGTAATTGGAAGTGAGCTAGTTCAGAAGTATGTCGGAGAAGGTGCTCGGATGGTCAGGGAACTGTTCCAGGTATATCTAGTGCTGCGAATCTGTAAAGATTCATCCAGTTTTTTCTGTTCAACATATTTCTGAAACGAATTCCTCTATTGTAGATGGCCCGCTCAAAGAAAGCATGCATTGTTTTCTTCGATGAAGTTGATGCTATTGGTGGTGCTCGTTTTGATGATGGGGTGGGTGGCGACAATGAGGTGCAGCGAACAATGTTGGAAATAGTGAACCAGCTTGATGGGTTTGATGCAAGAGGAAACATCAAAGTTCTCATGGCCACTAATAGGTATTTCATTTTTTCATTTTACTCTCATGTAATTCCAGATCCTTTTAGGTGATTACCTCGTACTCTATTCTAAAGATATTATCTGAAGAAACATAGGATTTTGAATATGCAAAGTTCTGCATGAAAACCTATTGTTTATAGGCTCCATGCCTTAAACTGACATGACTGCATGAAAATTAGGCTCCATGCCTTAAACTGACATGGCTGCATGAAGATGTATTGTTTATAATGGCTATAAAATTTATTGGCCATATCCCAGGCCCCAGAAGCTGACCACCGTCTCTGTTTTCTCCAGGCCTGATACCTTGGATCCTGCGCTTCTGCGTCCTGGTCGTCTGGACAGAAAGGTAGAATTCGGGCTACCTGACCTGGAGGGCCGTACCCAAATTTTCAAGATCCATACACGAACCATGAACTGTGAGCGAGATATTCGTTTCGAGCTTCTGGCACGGCTCTGCCCCAACTCTACTGGTGAGTTGCTTTGTGGTTTGATCAGAATGTTATCTGTTTGATTTGATTGTTGTACTCGAAGATTTTACGATAGACGATCAGGTTCTCACATAGCCTTGCTTGTTACTCCAGGAGCGGATATAAGGAGCGTTTGCACAGAAGCCGGGATGTATGCCATCCGTGCTCGCAGGAAAACGGTGACAGAAAAGGACTTCCTCGATGCTGTCAATAAGGTCATCAAGGGCTACCAGAAATTCAGTGCAACACCCAAGTATATGGTGTACAACTAGTCAGTGCGTCTTCATGGGATCTGTTGTTTTTAGAACTCTGGATCTTTTTGATGATTGTATCGTCATGAGGTTCTATGCAAAGATTGTTGTTTGTTTAGCAAATTGGATCCCCAGTGACTAACCTGTACCACATGTTTTTAAGACAAGGTTCTCTGCTCGGTGATTCATGTTGCTTGTGTTTATGACTGATGATGTGCACATAACGCAAAGTTCATTCGGAGAACTGACGCAATGTAAACCTCAGGCAACGCAGGTGGTTGTTGCTCTGACGTCTCATCTGGATTATGCTTTGCTGGTTGCTTCTGTGCATCGTAAAACTTCTACAGTCATACCATATATTGGCAGGGTGGTGCATCCTGCGAGTCTGATGTGGTCAGTCTGACGGGCAATAGTGTGGTGCCATGGTCGGCCTCATTATAAGCCCCTCAAAAGAGCCAAGCCAACTGATCGGCGTTATTTGATAGGTCTTATATACAGAGGTTTCTTTGCCGGGCATTATTTGAGAAGTCATATATACAGAGGTTTCTCTGCCGTCTCTTACGACAGGTCATATACTATGTGCAAAAGATATATGTACTCTATCATACATTGCAGCCGTTTCGCTGTAGCTACTTTTGCAGCCGTTTCACTGTAGCTGCTGCAACTTTCTTCACATTTGATGACCAGCTGAGAGCTGCTAAGGCTGCAGCGCAGCACAGCCACAGCAAGTTGATCCGAACGGACAGTGACTTGGAACTTTCAAATCTCCACTCTCTCAATCAGCTTGATGCCTGACGACTCCAAGATCTCCAATGCTTCACACATGCAAATACACTGAGTCAGTACAGTTGCGCGTGTTCCACAAGGACAGGCATGAAAACTATAGCACACCTGGAATGTAGATCTCCGGTTGCAGAGGCCTGATCACTCCTTTTGTCTGGACCTTATTCTGTAGCAATAGCTGCAATATAACATGGTTCGAGAGCAAATGAACATACATTATTTTCCATTTTCCTTTTTGGCTTTTATCCTTACTGTTATGCAAGTATAATTGTGGTTAGGTTTACTACCAGGGCCCCTACTGCTGCTGGAACACCAACGGTCAGGGCCATGGCAGTGGTGGATCTGCCATTTTCAACCTTCCCGAACTCCAGTAGCGTCGCTTGGTGCTTTTCGGTGGGTTGCCCGTCTGGGTATTCCACCTCGACTTCGTGGTGGAGCAGTACCATGTCCTGAATTTGCAGGAGCTGTGTCTCAGCAATGGTTATCCGAGGAAGGCTATTGATTCGATTTAATCCATTTTTTTTAACATGAAGTAAAAACAGTACGAAATATGGTGGTAGACCAGAGTAAAGAAGTTTGGATTCGCATTAATCATTAAACTGGCAATCTACTGCAAATCTGCTAGGAATCAAAAGTGCATTTTCGTATCTGAGTTTTGTCCCTGTCAAATTTATACAACTGAACTGATTAAGGCAACTACAAACAATAAATTAGTAAGCTTGAGATTATTGCCACTTTTCTATTACCTTCTTGACTTCTTTTTATGATAATATAAATATAAGGTTGAATCTCTTATGATTTTAGAAAGAAAGATCTGTACTACAGATATTTTAACAGCTACATGCAACACATGAGACATATGACAGGTGGTAAGATAGTATTAAGCCTCACTTGCTCATTGTGGCCATAGGCCATCCTCTGTTCCATTCGTTGGCAGATCACATCAAATGCACTTGAACAACCCTTAGGAATTTGAGTCTCCTCATGTAGTCCCAAGAACCTGCTCGTGTATGATTGTGTTTTGTCAGTTCTAAAATAAAATACAACTACAGCATTCATGTTTCCTGTTTCTATTATCCCTAAATCATTTTTTGCCTGGGGATTCTTTAACATATTAACTTGATGGCATTATTTATATTGCACTACAACAGTTCATAAAAGATGTGAATTTTGTAGCACGGGATCAGGACTAACTTGATGGTTTTGACTGTCTTAGCAGCTATTTCCTTATCTCTGCAACACACGAGCTTCGATAGTCTGGCAATCATCTCATCATCATATCCACCAGAGGCTTCAATATCTAAGTCTGTGTTAGTTGTGGAGATATTATTAAGTAGTTCATCAAGGAAACCCTTATATGTTGGACGATTAGTATCTTGCAGCAGTGGATGATTTGCAGCATCAAAGAACCCAATTTTCGACAGGGTTGCCATTATCTCACTAAAACCTGCACATGTGCAGCAAAATGGTGAATGGAAATCAGACTTGCAATGCAAAGCAATGCCTCACTGAAGCAAAAGGTATGCAGATGCTTACCTTCGTAACGAAGAGTAGCCCTGTATATGGTAGATGCTTCTTTGGAGATACCATAAAGGTCTCCATATATCAAGGAATTCCGATTTGGCAAGTGTTCCAGAGCAAAAGCTGGAAGCTCTGGTAGTCTGAGCCTCTTTGCTGATTCAAACAAGTTATGACCTATTGAAGAGGTAAGTAAATCACTCAAGAGCTGTATGGAGTAATCCATTGTTTCAACAGATTATTAGATTACAGGATATGAAATAGATCCAAGTGCTCCGTAACTCCACAGTTTGTTTATTTGTGGACAGAAAACTAATACATGGATAGCGTATAAGTTTGGTCCTTGATACATTAGCGTCCCACCTCTTGAATTGGTACTATTCCTATCAGTGTGTTTACATTTTTTTCTCGACCGTACCATGAGGTACGGATTTCATCAAGAGGAAGTAGAGTTTTTGTGAAAATACAAGCTTTAGTGGTAATCCCGGGATTACCACTATAAAAAATGCAAGAAACAGTTAGAAAGTAGGACTATGAAACGAAAGCATTTGTGACCATTGGAAGAAGTCTACGCAGGTGCCTGAACCCAGCCAAGTCCCAAAGCCTACACAGTGTGTTTATATGAGATGTATGTTGTAATTTGTAGCATCTACTTCTCTCTTCAATGATTATGTAAAGCTACTGCCATCATTTTTGAAAAAAAGGGGAACAGGCGAGCAAGCATTTGCTCCTTATTTAGTGTAGCACGTCAGGAGAAATAAATTGTAACAGACTTACCATCTACATGGATTCTCTCTCCAAGAAATTTGTAGACAGCAGGATTTTTCCCTGCCCGGAGGGCACCAGTTGGGTTCCAACTGAAAAGGAGGAATATAACTATTAGCATTTCAAAAAATTTGCCACGTGAAATATATTTTTTTTTGAACCAGTCGTGAAATATTTTTTGAATGGATGCCACGTGAAATATTATTGTTAAGAATATCTGGATGTAGAAACCTCATTGTACTACTACTGATAACTGAATTACTTAGAACATGGATACATCTACCTGAATTTATAGGCAAGTGGGTTGTTTGCTGCAGCTGGAGATGGCAATCCTCCACAGTAAGATGTAAATGCCTTTATTTTTCCCTTTCGAGCACGAGCTTCATCAATCATCTTCATTGACATCAAGTGATCTGCATAACATAAATCAATATACTTAAACTTGTTTCTACAGGAAAATTAACCTATGATGAAAGAGCACTTTCTCTCACTATACACTGCTTTCCCTAATACTTCCATTAATATGTTTTGCATAAGCATTTCATTAAAATGTACACGAGTGACCATTACATTGAGGAAGTACCTATGCCAGGATCTAGGCCCATTTCACAAAGTATAATTACACCTGCACCTTTGGCAGCTTGGCTCAAGTTTGACATGGATTCATCAACATAGCTTGCCGTTACCATGTGCTTCTTGAGCTGTAATAGATGAATTTGTCAGTCAAAGTCCCTCACAATAAATATCACATCAATAATGGTTTAATGCTTCAACAGAGCTCCAAGGATTTTATAAATCACCACGAACATAAGAAGACTACCTCTATGCATACTCTTGCAATGGCAGCATGAAAACTAGTAGGCAGCAAGCTAATTACAACCTCAACCTGCAAGAGGAGCTCGCGTCATTAATCTTCTGGCAAGTTAGTACTGTAATTAACAAATTCAGGGGTACAATTTAAAATATTTTCCCAGAAAGAAAGCACAAATCAACATCCTGAACCACATTGGAGCTATTGCCTAAGCGTGAATGAAGTTGGTTTAAAAAATAATGGGGATCCACTCATATTAAGTATCAGGATGAAACTTACCTGAGAAACAAGATCTGAAAGGCTTCCAATATCAGAAACATCAAGCTGGGTAGCAGTTGTATTTTCAATACCATCAACTGTCTGCATGTACAGATACAGAGACATGAGAAGATAAAAGGTTAAATTCCACAAATATTGTATACAAGACGACCAAATACACTATTTTTAATTTGGTATTGCTCATTGATGTCCATAAAGCATGTTAATAGCAAATCATGCAAGCAACCAAACAGTACAGAGAAATTGTCAAGAGATGGGGAATGCATCATTGCAAGAATAACCTCTTCTGCATCTTTTTGATACAAAGATGCCACAATAACATGAATTTGATCTGCGTTATGGTCATCAACACCATAGGTACATATGTCTGGGTAAGATGCTAGAAACTCAGCAGCTGGTCGACAAACTCTTCCAGCTCCAAGAATTAAAACCTTTGGCCCTCCTTTATCAACTGTGTCACCAGTTTCACACTCATTGACTTTTCCTATCTTCAGAGCTAATTCAGTTTGTTTCCCGGCATTGTGATCTCCACCATGTTCATTAGCTAGAGAAGTCAAGGAATCAATAATTTTATCCAATGTGGCAGTATCATCTGCTCCTACCTGCAAAAAGGTGTGTATCATATGTTTCAGAAACAAAACAAATTATGGTTGTGTTGACCAGCAGAAGATTTGTTCTTTAAAAAGAAAGTAGGAACTATTCTTCTTTAAAAAGATTTATCCTAATACTTTTTCCAGAGAAGATTTCCATGCTAACTAATTTGAGGTTCAGTATGAAGTTAAATGCTTACTTCAAGCTCTGAGTACGACATATCATCCATGCTTTGTCCAACTTCACATCTAACCAAGTGAAATGAACCTCCAGCTGTCTCAATGATGTCCAAAGCTTCATTTATAAGGAACTTATCAAATAGGTGCCCACTGAGAGATACCTGTTTCATATAATCAACAGTTTTAAAGACAAAAAGCCTAAGTAATTCTGTATTGATCAAATACAAAGCATGAATGCACTGGAGTACTAGGAAAATACTATTTGCTAACCAGGGTGCTGTACTTCTTGTCAGGCAATGGATTTGTTTTTGTGGGGGCCAAATCTCTGCAAGAAATAGAATATAACTTTGATAACAACATTAATGACCATTAAAAAGTGGCGATTGGTAAATACTGGTAAGCACACAAAGTGCCATAACGAGAAAACTATGGTTATGTGATGCTAGGGAAAATGCCAAAAAACAATTTATACAACATGAACAACCACTACATAGAGAAGATTCTGAACAAAAAAATTAAAGAAACAGGAATAGGATGGTGTTCAAATTATTGATAACAAAAGACACATGAATCATAGATTCCTTGTCCATTTATTAAAGAGAACCAGTAAAAATACTAGTTAGAACAAAGCAGAGTAAAAACTAGGCCACTTAGTCCTCTACAAAACTTGAAGTGTTCTGGTTTACAAGTAGAAATATATAAGTTCAGAAACACATCCATTACCATGCCCAATGGGGCAACACTGTGCAGAGGAATGCAAGGGATGTATTCAAAGTAGGATCCTATACAATAGACTAATTCCACAGCATAAGTATACTCTACCCCCCTTTAAACTCAGCATAAATAAAAACTGTGAGTTGGATACAAGCATAGCTATGCCATGGTAAAGAAGTCCGTGAACTGAAGCTTTGAAGGAATACAATTTGTAGGGTTGTTTAACAAAATGCTACTCCCCATATTGTAGAGTAACAAGCATAGTACAAAATGCTAAAATAAACCACGTATTTTAACAAGAATATCTATTTAACTGGTTTGCAACTTTATGGATCACATCGTACAACGGAACTATCTGAGAGGAATACAACGGTGAAGAATAGAAGTATTTGAAGCTTACATCATAGTGTTTCTCATTCTTGGGATATATTCATACAACGGAGTTAATCTGCCAGCATGTGCAATGCAAGCTCTTCTCAAGTAGGAAGGAAGTTCTGCCGGTTGCTTTACTGAGGCCAAACTAGGAACAAGTTTAGATAATATGTTTCCGAAATGTTGGGAGGCCTACATGGTTCAAATACAATGGGACAACGGTAAGATCAATGTTCGAGAAAAAATCAGTAAGATCAATGCAGCGAGCTGATGCCTATACAAAATAGCATCTTTGTTGTAGTAAGAAATCTGTTACTCCCTCCATTGTGTTTTTTTGGTACAACGAGCACTACTACAGATACCAAGATGCCAGCGCAGTACACATACAAGAATTAATCTAGCATTGGGTGCCACACACGTGTCCATTTTGCATGCCATGTCGCTCAAATTGGATGGATTAACTTCCAAATTTAGATGCATGCATGTGTGATACAACTAGCTCTGACCAATCCGATGCAAAGCATGCTTGGTCGCTTCGAGTGCCGTGAAACACAAGTTAATACGTACGCCTCGGTACCTTGCAGCGCCTTATAAATAAGTTTTTTAACAAAAATGCTCAGGTGCCTAAAAAAGAGAATGGAGGGAGTACCTCTTTAGAGAACTCTGTAGGGAGAATGTCAACAGCCAAGCAGATCACTCCGGCACCTTCCATATCATCATGGTATGAATTATTATTAGAAGGATCATACCTACGGTTGTGTATCCCGTAATTAGTCAGAATCATAACTATAGGAAGAAACTATTAAACAGTAACTGTGATGATTGAGGAAGCAGCCACCAAGAATCTAGGGTGCTGTAAATATCAGAGAATGTTCCACTGAACTACAATACTAGGCAAGGACAGAAGATTTAAGCAAATTGTGCATCCACAACGTATATTCGAAAGAATTAGGGATGTAAGTAATGCCAACACACTTTAGGATACTGTGATGCTACTCATGGGTTATTATAGTTTTTCCAGTTTTAAATTTAAAAATGGAAAAATGGAGGAATGCATTACCGGAAGAAAGGCCTCTCTATTGATGTACTCTTGTTGACAAATTCAATGGAACCTCCAATATCACAAGTTATGTCACAGACGCCAACCAAAGGACAACCAGTTTCCATCAGTTGCTGTAACTGATCCATACTCAGTAATGGTGGAAACCTCTTCTCCCAATACATACAGTTTACTGCAGAAACCATGAAGACACAAATTATAGAGTGTGGACAAATATGTCTACTCCAGAAATTTATTACAATGTAGCAGATATTTACTAAATCCCACCATCTTTATATAACAAAAGCCGCAAAGCGATCTTATCATGGACAGAGCTAGTTTTTACCCTAAAACTGTTCTATGCTATACAAAATAATAGTTAGTAATACTGTACTTTCTTAAGAGTATTAACATTAACGGAAACAGAAAGAATTATGTGCCTGAGCTGTATTAAAGATTGCGTCAAAACAAGGTAATACCCATATATGACTGGTCTCACATGTTCAAAGTTGATAAAAACACGTTCTAGTTGGTTCAAAGAGTACAATGGAACAATTTATGATAAAAGCACTCATCCAAGACCATACCGATGACAGATGCATATGGAACAATCTTTTCATGAAAAACAGGGGCGTAGTGTTCTGGATGAGCATAATAGTCAGCCTGCAGATTACACAAATTTAAGATTTTTGAGTGAGGCACTGAGGCCATTGAAAAGCTAATGAGGTACTTGTCAAATTAGAAAAATAACTGACAAATATGGATGCAATTTACTTAAAAATATATTTAATATATATATATGTATAAGAAGATGAAGTACATTAGGACATGGTCATTATAACCAAAAAAAAAAAAAAAAGATAGGCACAAAGGCTCCTGATGCACAACCAGTATAATGAGAAGATTGTATCAGGTCATGATGAAATTAAAATGTGGGTATGTGGTAGAATACATCTCTGGAATATAACAAAATGTTGTTATAACTGACCATCAAGGAGAAACTAAAAATCCACTTATGGTTGAAGAGACGTGCATTACTTTGTCAAATTGTCTGGTGGGATCTTTGTGGGAAACCATGTCTCTAGAGTCACAACACAACCATATAGTTGAAATGCTCTCTTGGTCGACTGAGATTGTTTAGACAGATTCCTGGGCTGTAACATTAAAAACAGAGTTAGAGTATAACTAGGTTTGTTAAGAAGCATGCTTACAAATTAAATCAAGTAACAATAGCTAATCCTGCTGGATACAGAAAAAGGAGGTAGAAATTTGATGAATTTCATTTAGGGAAGAGATATTACATAAGAAATTGTTAGTTAAACTAGTTTAGTTGAACTTATGATTTAATGCAAGAGAATGAGTAAAAGTATAATACCTGAGAAATTTCAGGAAGTTTCTCAGCATCAACAAAGGTATGGGGCAATAACTTGAATATCTCCTGCGCGCCCTGAGAGACTGTCACGTTGAAGTTATATATGTCAAGTGTAAGTTTTTTCAGATAAAACCACATCACTAAGGTAGTAAAAATTGAGACGTAGTACCCTAAGGTCTAGTTTTTTCCATTTCCTTTAGAAAGCATGTATATCTATATAACTTTTTGGTCGATGTAATGCTATCAATATCCCCTCTAGTGCCAGCAGGCTTAAGATATTTAGTTTCACAAATCATATTTAACCACAATAATTCAAGGAAATGTCAATGAGTTAAGGTCATTTTGGCCTTGAAAGGAAAGAGTAAGATGTATTTTCTTTGAGCTTGCACTAAAACGACAGGCATATACACCAGCAAAATTCTGTAAACGACATAGTATTTGTGCAATGGCCCAAAAATAGAGATGGAACAGGAGTGATCATAACACCACATGTGCAGTAGAAGAAATGTTTTATGCCCTGAAACCATTAAGATCATGAAATCACCCAATGTTAAAGGACTCAACTCCTAAAGAGGCAAAGCGCGCAAGGCTTCCTATTACAAAAATCAATAAATGGAAATATGTTGACAGCACAATTACCATTTCCAACTCCAGTGAATACAAACACTATCGGACAAATTCCGGATGGAAGTCCGAATGTTGCTATCTCTTCAGCAACAGCAATGACTGCAGCCTTGGCTGCAGCGAGCGAAGGATACATATGAGATTGTCCCAGAGAGAGAAATGGAGTCGAGTATCCAAGGCTCAAATATCCTGAAATTGTAAGGGAAAACCTTAGGCCACTTGAATGACATACAACACCAAACAGAGACATCTCCAGTCATAGATTGTACTATGAATCAGCAGTTGAATTCATTTTAAATCATTGTAAACAATTACTTGTAAGTTGCAGTGAGCAAATTAACTAGTTCCTATAATAAACCCAGATGGAAAATCCAAGTATCAAAGGCATAATATCATCAAGTAATTGCATGAGCTGATTATTAGTGTTGGTCATCGTACTTACGCTGTCCGAGACCATGTAAGAAATCTATCAGGCCAGCTCTACCAGCAAACTTCCCAAATGCTAGCGACCTTTTCCCATCATCTCCAACAATTAGCTCATAATCAAACAAGGACACCCTTTCTTCAAGGATCTGAGAACGTTAGTCAACATTTTAATATTCTACAGAAATGATAATGGCAGTTGACTGAAATGATGAAGGTACAAGCTTATGTTTAATACCTTATCTAACAGTGGCATATTCTCTTTTTGGGCCTTGTGAGTGTGTGAAAAGAAAGTGTACGCTCTATCTGGAAGAATCATCTGCAACTGCTCAAGTGAAGACACCTCCAAGCGTTTCAGAACCATGATGATACTGGTACAGAGCACTGTCCAATAGAGTATCTAGCTTAATGAGAAATATGACCTTTGGTTGTTTGATGCCTATAATAAGACCGCACTCTGACAGGTCTTCTGAAATCTCGCATCCTACATCCTCATACTGAGCGTCATGATGTATCCTCTTCGTGCTTGGCTGCACAATAATCCGGTTTACTCGAGCCCCGTTCATCCCTCCTCCGAGCAGAAGGCGAGCACAATGGGAAGGAGTTAATGGTGCCCTCCTTTCCCACATGTTACAAGTCTCAGCAAGAATCCCAACAACTCCATTGCCCAGCAAGGTGTCATTGCCCTGTGAGTGGAAATGTAATCAACATAATTAACCTTCCTTTTTTTTAAAAATAATTAACCTTCATGTTAAAGAACAAGGTTATCAAAACACCGCATGGTTTGTGACAACAAAAGGGTCAGATTACACACCTCAGTAGCAGCAGAACCCATATCGGAGTCCAATTAAGGTGCCACGACCACGGACATGAAATCCACAACTCCTGGAAATGAAGTGAGTTTACACAGTCAGGTCGTTACAGATTTCAAAATCATTAGCCAGATGTTGTCAGGGGAATACAGTTCAAAGACGGCATGGCAATCTGCTACGACAACAAATTATTAGTTGAACTTCGCTCATTCTACTCCATAGTTGCGGGGCGCTGGCTGGCAAAGAAACAAAATAAGCTAGTAATCCAACCAAGTAGCTGTCACAGAGAGTGCAGCATCCTACGATACGAATGAATCAGTCCAAACTCCAGCAATGAAAGATCGTTTATTTAATCAAGGTTACTAAAATCGGACAAAGAGACGGTAGTAGTAGTGATAGCAATGAAAGGTTCCAAATCCCTGTTTACTAACGGACAAAGAGACGGTAAAGTGTAGCATATGACTTTAGGCCCCGGCAGATGTAAAATTTTCACCCTAAAAGTGTCACAAATTCAAGACATGACACAGAATTAAAATAAATAAAACTAATTGCATAGTTCTCGGCAAAATCGCGAGACGAATCTTTTAAGCCTAATTAGTCCATAAAAAGCCTTAAATGCTACAGAACCCACATATGCTGAATGGCCGATTAATTAGTATTATTAGATTCATCTCGTAGTTTTATGATGGATTCTGTAATTTGTTTTTTTATTAGTATCAAAACTTCCTCCCGACATCCTTCTAACACATCCCATCATTTTTACCTTCCCAACTAAACACCCCCTTACTACGTACTGCTGGTATAAGATGGTTGCACATGTCCGCTTCCTTTTCTCTTGTACTAGAAAATGGTCCTTGCACGGCTTGTACCGCGCAACGATCACTCTAGTCTAGTCAGCAGCAGCCAGAAGCTGAACCACGTAGGCAAGCCAAGTCACGGACGCATCGCGCTCACACTGTCCGTTCCGTCCGTAGTATCACCACCTCGTCACGGGCTGCCTGCCGCTATCTCAGCGCCCACACTAGTTCGTCCGGTTGTTCACAGCCCAACTGCCTATCATAGTATCATCAGTACAGGCTGGGCCCCCTCCCTCCTTGTCCTCTGGAGGTCTGGAGCGAAAGCACGTGTACGGCGGCGTCGCCGACGATCCCCAACGCCCACCGACCGATCGCTCGCCAGCTGCCAGCAGCCGCGCCCGGCGCCCCCAAATTAACCGCACTGATCGGCGGACCTCGCCGTTGGAGCCGCAAATTAACCCGAACCGCCTGGAAAACCCCGCCACGAATCAAATCCCCCCGCGCAGGAGGTCGCGTACGCCCGTGCGACGCGATCCTCCAAAGCAAATCAACGACGAAACAAACTGGTAGATTAACCGGCGATGCGGCCATGCGGGACGCCGGCCGGAGAGAAAGCAGGCGGCAGTGCCGTACCTGGCACTTCGATCGACGTGGTCCCGGCGGAATGAAGAGCGAGCTGGAGTGGAGATGGCGCACGGGCACCGGCGGAGGAGGTAAGCGAGTGAGGTGGCGGGCGGAATGGAGACGGATGAGGCGGCCTCTGCGCTGGCGGAGTTTATCCGGAGGTTAGCTTAAATAGAGAGGCGGAGGGAAAACGGGGGCGCACGAACTCCTGCTCGATTTCAATTTGGACACGCTATCCGCACCCTTTTTTTTGGAGGGTTCCAGCCTTTCAGGGAGGGGAGTCAGCTCTCAGCTGGCCTGGGCTCCGACGAGGACGATGGATGGCGACGCCGACGTGGTGGTGACGGCGCTGGTGGTGGAGGAACACGAGTGGAGTTGAGCTGTCTCGGAAGCGCACGGCACCACGAGACGACGGAGACGGGGAGACGGTAGAAAAGAGCCAAAGAGGGAACTTCTCCTACTTCCCTCGGAGCCGACCTACCAGAGGCAAGGACGGCGTGGGCGTGGGCGTGGCCGCGTGGGCGAGGGACGAGATCACGAGATCGAGTACGGAGAATGGCCGTGGCCACGTGGCACGCCGCGTTGCACTCCATTTGGTGCCACTCCACTCCAAGCGGAGCCAAAATATTTTTATTTTAATATCTAAATCCGATGAGGCAAGGGATTGCGTTTTTGTACGGTAAACAACTCATCATAATGTCCGAGGCCATCCCTTGCCCCTTGCCCACAGCTCTGTGGATAATGATAACTAATATCACAAGACAAGCATATTATGTGCACAACGTGGGATAATCTTGGCTGTAATTTAATTAATTAAAAGTGCGCATCGTGGCGCCCCCCTCTGCCTTATGTCCTGTTCGCGTCCCCTTAAATCCGGCTTGATCCGTTTATTTTTTCATTCAAAACAGTATTTTTCTCTCACAAATTCCTTCAGCATTCCTCCGAACCATCCAGATTCCTCTAGAATTCAGACAAGCGAACAGACCCTTAATCTGAAGCTTTTTTTTAATTATGTTTCGCCTACGACACAAGAGGAGAGAGAGAGAGGGGCAAAAATGAAATGAAGAACCGAGCGAGTAGCTAGTGTGTATACGTTCGAATCGTATTATACGTTCAATGGTGATGCAAGGGGGACCCAAGAAAAAGAGTTAGAAAAACGGGCCGCCTTCTTTGGTAGCCCATATATATCCGCACATGATGTGGTGGCGTGCCTCGGGTGCAAGAAGAGTGCACAGTACGTACGTCGCACAGGTCAGCGAGACGGTGACGCAGACCCCGAAAGCCATTTCGGCCGGTTCCTTTCATCTTCATCGGAGCCGGCAAACGTGGCGGGCGGAGATCGAATTGACAGCCATGGCCGCCGGATGAAAAATCTTGCAAGCCAAAAACCAAACAAACGAGCTATAGTATAAGTTATCTGTTTCTCTGCTCAGTAGCTATCATCCCCACGTTCTTGCAGCGTATCGTCTTGTATATGTGGGTGTATAAAGACACTATCCGGTCAATGCATGCATGCAGTTTCTTGCCGAGAGTGTCCAACTGGGAGGAGGAGATTAACAATGGCTAAATGGCTATAGCTTATCACCAGGATGTGAGCACACACCAAGGACGACAGCGACATAGGACGGACATCGGAGAGCCGTGCTTGCGTGCGCAACACCAACATGATTGCTTTGCTTGCTTGTTCAGGGCACCTCCTTTTTTTTCCTAGCTATAAAAAGAAATCAATGACTCTGGTCGCCACGCAGCCAGCTCGCTCGTCAAACACAACGGAGTCGCGGCTTATTATATAGGAGTATACTCCTATCTAATTGAGCAAGGCACTGCAAGCAAATTAAAATGCTGAAGGTGAAAGGAATGCGACGTTAGCCGATGACGCCGCTGCAACCGCGAACCGACCCCGAAATGCATCAGGATCTTCGGCGGATTCGATGCCATCTACTCTAAGCGCCAGCATAAAGTGCGCTACAGAGAGGCATGCATCGCCGAGACGCCCATCCCCACTTTCCTTCGCTGGTCAGAATCTCCAATCACTTTTGATCAGAGGGACCATCCTTATCATCCACAAGAAGCGCCTCCCCAAGATGCTAATGGACGGAGGCAGTGGCCTCAACGTCCTCTACGTTGACACCCTCGACGCCATGCGCATCCCCCTGTCGGAGCTCCGCCCGGCGAGCTCTCCCTTCCACGGTGTGATCCTGAGGACGCAGGCGTACCCGCTCGGGCAGATCGACCTGCCCGTCACGTTTGACAATCGAGCCAACTTCCGCTCGGAGGTACTTACCTTCGAGATGGTGGACTTCCTAGGGTCTTACCACGCCATTTTGGGACGGCCATGCTACGCCAAGTTCATGGCGGTCCCCAACTACACCTACCTGAAGTTGAAGATGTCGGGACCGAACGGCGTCATCACTGTGGGTAGCACCTTTTCGCACGCCTACACGTGCGACCGCGAGCATTACGAGCTCGCCACTGCCGTCATCAACTCGTCCGAGCTCCCGCGGCTCGGGAAGTTGTCGACCCCAGCAGTCCCGGACTGCAACAAGCCAACCTCCTCGACTGCCTTCCGCCCACTCGAGAAAACTAAGGTGGTGGGAATTGACCCCACTGACCCTACCAAGACGGTGCGGATCGGGACCCAGCTCTAGGCCAAATAGGAATGCGAGCTCGCCGACTTTCTACGCGTCAATCGTGATGTCTTCGCATGAAAGCCTTCCGACATGTCAGGCATACCGCGGGAGGTCGCCGAGCACGCACTACGCCTCGTCCCGGGCTCGAAGCCTGCCAAGCAACGCCTGCGTCACTTTGACGACGAGAGGCACAGGGCCATAGGCGAGGAGGTCACCAAACTCCTGGCAGCTAGATTCATCAAAGAGGTATACCACTCCGACTGGCTCGCCAATCCTGTTCTTGTTAAAAAGAAGACCGAAAAATAGAGAATGTGCGTTAATTAAACTGTCCTCAACAAGGTGTGTCCGAAGGACTATTTTTCTTTATCACGCATAGACCAGATAGTCGACTCCACCTCAGGATGCGAAATCCTCTCATTTCTGGATGACTACTCAGGCTATCACCAGATCGCAATGAAAGAGTTCGACCAGCTCGCGACTTCGTTCATCACTCCGTATGGTTCGTACTGTTACGTAACAATGCCTTTCGGCCTGAAGAACGCTGGCGCCACCTATCAACGGTGCATGCAGCAATGTTTCACCAATCAAATCGACCCGCTCAATCAGCCTGACCAAGTCGAGCGGCCAAAACCAACAATCGCCGTCTATGTTGATGACATAGTGGTCAAAACAGCTCGAGCTTGCGACCTGATCGCAAACTTGGCCGCAACATTCACAAACCTCCGAAGGTTCAACATCAAATTGAATCTCAAAAAATGTGTTTTTGGGGTTTCAAAGGGAAAGCTGCTTAGGTACATCGTGTCCGAACGCGGCATCGACGCTAACCCCAAAAAAATCATGGCCATCTCCAACATGGGCCCTATACGCAATGTTAAGGGCGTACAGAGGCTCACCGGCTGTTTGGCTGCCCTGAGCCGATTCATCTCCCAGCTTGGCGAATGGGGGATGTCTCTCCACAAGCTTCTTAAAAAG